GTGACCACAGGATAGTAGTAACACCATATTGCACAACCAATTTTGAGTTTTGTGATTTTGAGTTTATGTGAAGCAGGAAATTTAACTGTTATTTATAGTCATGTAGCAAAGAAGGGATATCTGCTTTCTCAAGTCTTGGAAGGTTATATTGCTGTGCTTTCTGAATTAGAAAAAAATAAGATTGTCTTCAGATTTAAAAATTCTTAGGGTTTTTTCAAGAAAATTCTAGAGACAGATTGGCATTATTTAAGAAAACTGACATCCAACATTGTGGATTTTAGTGGTCATTTACTAAGGTACATATTTATGATCATTATATATTTCCTCTCTGCCTGTTACATAGAGAAGATTAAGGCATATTAAATATAGAAGTCTGAGTTTGTAACACAAATATAAGATGTAATGATGAATTGTACACTTCAAAGTGTTTATGCCAGTTTGACTTTTAATAGTGATTATCTTAAAATTTTCAGAGGAAAAAAATTCCCTTAATTCTTTGTTTGAATTTCTATCAAATATTTTCCTATGGTCAGATATTTATAAGCAAAAACATTATTCAATATAATGATTAAAATAAATATAGACACATTTGTTTAAAAACCTTTATTCTCCTTCGTAGTAGTCAAATATTTTTGTAGTTGGTACAGTCACAAAACACAAATTAGACAATTTTTGAGAAAATTACGTCACATTTGAAAGCAGCACTAATCATAATAGCAGTAACCAGTGCACTTAAGTGTTTTTTATTCTAGAAAACTAAAATAGCCCTTGTGTTTAAAACAGAACAACAAAAAACAAAGCAGCACCTGCTTAATAAGTTACTTTTCAACCAGATTATTATTTAAATCCATAATTAAAAGAACACCATGTAAGCTTTTTGTTCAACAGATTTTTTTTCTTTCAATGTTTGTTTATTTGAGAGAGACAGAGCATGAGTGTGGGAGGGGAAGAGAGAGAAGGAGACACAGAATCCGGAGCAGGCTCCGGGCTCTGAGCTGTCAGCACAGAGCCCAATGCAGGGCTTGAACTCATGAACTGTGAGATCATGACCTGAGCTGAAGTTGGATGCTTAACTGACTAAGCCACCCAGGTGCCCTCTTCAACAGAGTTCTTGAAAATAACTCCTTATGACTATTGGGTCAGGTTGTTTTATTTAATAAAAAGAATTTCAGTGATTCAGTTTCAGTCTGAATAATAATAAATAGAATATAATTAGAATAAATTAGAATATAGTGGATCCTTGATTATATACACTAGCTGTAGACTGGTGTATTTGGTAAATTTTATGTTTTGGGTTTTGGTTATAACCATATAACTATAACTTGATTATAACTAAGTTGTCAATTTCTAAAGAATTACTAATAAAGATACAATTAGTGGATGACTTCTTGAAGGAAGAACTTCAACTTTCTTTAAGGAGCCAAAAAGATCTTAAGTATCTTTTAAAATCTTGAATGAACATATGAACATCATCATGTTGTATTAAAAAAATTTTTCTTAGTTTATTTATTTTGAAAGAGAAAGTATAAACAGGAGAGGGGCAGAGAAAGAGGCAGAGCGAGAGGATCCCAAGCAGGTTCCACATTGTCAGCATGGAGCCTAATGTGGGGCTTGAACTCATGAATGGTGAGATCATGACCTGAGCTAAAATCAGGAGTTGGATGCTTAACCAACTGAGCCACCCAGGCGCCCCAGAGTATTTTTTCTTAAAGTTTATTTATTTTGAGAGAGAGCAAGAGCAAGAGAGAGCATGCATGTGGAGTGGGGCTGAGGTGGGGTGGGGGAGGGAAAGAGGGAGAGAGAGAGAGAGAGAGAGAGAGAGAGAGAGAAGGAACAAAGGGAAGGAAGAAAGAATTCCAAGCAGGCTACATGCTGTCATTGCAGAGGCTGACTGTGAGATCATGACCTGAGCTGAAATCAAGAGTGGGATGCTTAACTGACTGATCCCATCCAGGTGCCCCTAGAGTATTTTATTTTAGCTACTATAGAAAGATTTTTTTTAATGTTCCTTGTAGAAATGTGCTTTGATATCAGTTTGCTAGTTACTTGTTTATTTCTCATAAGTTTGAAGTACATGAAATTCCCTTATTTGTATATTTTAAGTTTGTGAAGTTTGTAACAGTCGAAATATAATATAAAAAATGAGAAATTAAGATAATGATATGAAAACATGTCTAGGATATTAAAGAAATTCTCTGGAAATCTGGCTGTTAACTTGGAATATGCATTTTCAAATGTTTTCTCTGATAATTTCAAAAGTATAACAAAATGTATGGAAAATATGAACCTTAACATTAAAATAGTTGTCCATGGGTCATAATTTTGAAATGTTTATTCTATACAGGGTTCTTGTTTTGTTTTGATTTTACTTATTTATTTTTGTTTGTTTTGTTTTTGTTTTTTAGTTTTAATTATTTGCCAGCACTTTAAAGAGATTTCAAATAAAATTCTGGGGTTTCTAACCTGTCTTGAAAAAGTTGAAGTAGAGTAAAGGTGTTTCAGTTGTTCACAGATCCCATCCTCTTGTACAGTTTTGTTTTGTATTTCATCTATTTGTCTCATTGTCTAACTGAGATCCAAATGTAGTGCAGGAGTAAAGGATGTGAGCTCTGGAGTTTCACAAGATAGGTTCAGATTCTGGCTTCAACACTTACTACTTGTGTAACTGTAGACAGATTAGTTAATCTCTCTGTACCTCCTTTCTGTCTTTGGTAAAATGAAAATGGTGATGTGGCCCTACTGATGTCAGTAAGTGCATTGGGAACATGAAATAATGAGTATACATGAAGCATTTAGAGTGGTTTGTGACTTACATTCATTGTTCAGATGTTAACTTTGGTTAATAATGCTTTTTGCCTGATATCATCAGGCATTTGAATTTGGTGGTTCTTCTCCGTAGTAGAGGACTTTGATCTGTTTATTCATTTGATCAAAATTTATCAGATTCTGTTTTATAGTATTTGTAACTGATCATTTACTTTTTCCTGTCCTCTACTAGATTATATTTCCTAGAATTCCTTCTGTTTTCTAAGTGCTAAATATATGTTGATTGATTTGCATACATAAGAAGTGCTGACAGTTGTCTAGATTTATGGATTTAGGATTTGATTTATGGCTTAAAAAATTCTTACTATTTGTTGACAATGAAAGTTTTCTGCCTTGTCTAGTGTTGGTTTTGCCTATACCTTTGCTTTTGTTTTAGCCACAGTCTAAGGCGTGAGGATTTTTTACCATCTGACTGTGAATGTGGGTGGTGAGAGTTGGAGGGTTCTGGTAAAACTCAGAAAATGTACTAGAGTATTTTACAAAGTGAGAGTTTTAGGGAGAAACTAAGCGGGATAGAGGAGCATTTTGTGTTGGGAAGAACAAGATTTGTATATTCGTGGGCTTTTCTGGAACCTTTCCTCCATTAGCGGAGCCCATGTCCTATAAAATGATAATGCTCATTTTGGTTGGGCTTGTTTTCCATCATCTTCCTATCCTGTCTCCCCTCTCTTGAAACTTAAAATTTCATGTGTTAACATTATTTTGGATGAAAATTAGAGCCCAGTTGATATTTTTGGAAGATTTTGACTTGAGAAGGTTATCTGTAGCTCATAGACATAGAAAATGTATAAGTAGTATAGCTTAAAAATGAAAAAAATAATTAAAAACATCTTTGCTTAAATTGACATTGTCTATAGGTATCAGAATCAAGGAGGAAAACCTTCAAAACAATTTAAGAAATAGGTGGTTATTTATATAACCTTGCCTTTTTAAGCACAATAATAACAGAGGTAGCAGCCATGAAGGAGGTACAGATATTTTGGGTGCACAGAAATGAAATAAAAAAGTTACTCATGTCACAGAAGCACTGTGTTATTTGAAAACAGACACACTCTGAGAAAAATATCTATATCACATGACAAAGGTTTAATATTCTTAATATTTAAAGCATGCTTATAAATTATGAAGACCATGATAATAATAAACTCAGTCCTCCACAAAAGATAATGAATAAATGTCAGAGAAAGCATATGAATCTTCAGTAATCTCACTAGTTATCAAGCAAATGCAATATAAAAATTGACTATCACACTCGTCCATAAAATGAATTACCCATTCCCACTGTTAATGAGGGTCCAGGGGAATGAAGTGTTCTGTATACAAATCTTTCTAGAGCATAATTTGCTAATATATCATAGAATATTATTTTTTTAAATACATGTTTTGGTCCAGCAAAGACACTTATAAGAACTTCTCTTAAGACAGTAATCATAGATGTGACACAGGGATATTACTAAAAAATAATCATTGTGAAACTGTTTATAGTGTTGAACAACTGAAAGCATTCTGTTTACTAATAAGGAATTGGTTGCATAAACTGTTATAGCTATTTAATGGAATACTAGGGATCCATTTGAAATTATAATATGGTCTTTTTTTTTTATGGGGATAGAAAATACCCATAATAATTTATATAATCAGTATATTTAACATGGTAGATCACATTAAAATAAGTATATTTTAAATGCCCAGAACAAAGTCAGAAAGGATATGTGTAAAAAACTGAAATATTAACAGGGGTGTTTTTAGTTAATACAATTATGAATGATTTTAGTTTGCTAAATTTTCTGTGTTTTGAGAGTTTCTATTGTAAATGTGTATTATTTTGGCAGTGGGACAAAAGGATGGTATAAATAGTATGGTAATTTAACTTACAGTTCAACTTTTTCTTTAAGAAGTTTATTGAAAATAAGTGTGATTGAACATTGAAGTAAAAGTTACTAAAGAAGTTCAGATTTGGGGAGAAATTATTGAAATGGAAATTGTATGGCACTTTTCACTTCTTTGCATTTTCCTGCCAATGTGTTGTAACAGTCCCTGAAGCCTGTGGAAAACCTGTTAATGTCTGTAATGCTCATTTAATCATTTCAATGTTGTATTTATTCCCAGTCATAGCAAAAAGAAAAAGCATGATTTTTCTGTTTTGTTTTTGTTTTTGTTTTTTTATTTTCCAGGTAGTCGCTTTCAGCGACATTGTTCATTTCTCACAATGTATCATTCCTTATCTGAAACTAGACATCCTCTGCAGCCAGAAGAACAAGAAGTGGGCTTTGACCCCCTGTCAAGCTACTCAAACAAGACTGGAGGTGAGTTTTGTATTCAGAGACATTCTATGGTTACTGGGAAGTGTAGCAGAGAGCCTCCATTTTTTTCTGCCTGCCTTAAGTAAGTAATTCTTTAGATGAAGCTGAGCGGGGCAACTTGAAGCACACTTCCCTGGGTAGGTCGAGAGCACTCTGACACTAATGAATACCACAAAACATCAACTTTCAATTATAGACAGAAGCTTTAGGCAAATGTTTAATGCACTGTCATTCTTTAAAAAGAATCATGAACTTAAACAGTACTTCAGCATAAGAATATTAAAATCAAAATGGCCTTTGTCAAAACATCTTTTAAAGAAGTCTAAGCTTTTGGTGTTGATTTTGCAGGGATTTTTTTTTTTTTAATCTTTTAAAGCAGTTGACCTCATTCCTAGATAAAGATTTGCCTGATTCTTTTTTTTTCCCAGTAATTGAAATTTGTGTCCTATTTAAAAAAAATCTATGCATTGAAATAGTTAAAAATAGACTGTTAAAAGTAAACTGTATTCAGGGTCTACCCTATAAAAATTTATCAAATGTGTCTGTTTCAGAATTCTGTGTTGTTTTCTCAATATTAGTGATAATATAGTATCTTAAAAGGAAGTAGTTTATGCAAATTCCTAAAGCTTTATCCTTATTTTTGGTTGACTCACTCAAGTAACTACTTATAATTTTTTGGTCATGAAATACATATATCAGGATTATGAGATCTATTTTAAAAAATCATAATTAGTCAAAGTGATTGCATGTGTTTTGTATACTTCAGATATGTTTTTTTTCCTGTATTGGTAGAAAGGTCTGCTGTTATGTTTTGGGAATTTAAAAACAATTGATTTTTAAAGTGGTTATTTAGTGATTAAGCCTTGACTTTATGGAGTGCATTTATGTGTTTTGTGCATTTTTACTGCCTTCTACGTCATACAGATGCCATTGTTGTTTTCAATGAAAATGATATAATTTGCCTTACAACTTATTTTTGTGATCTTTTTATTTTTATATGTGCATTTATGGAAAGGTCACAGAAAGACTGTTGTTCAAGGTTTTGACCATATGAAAAAATTGTTACCGTCGCATTTTCATTTCAGCATCTTAAATATTTCAGTGGTAAGAATACTACATCTCCTAGTGATTTTTAAAAATGTAATACCTATAAGAAGCACTAACAATTAAATAAGTCAAATTATTTCACAAGCACTTCAAATTATTTCACAAGTCAGTATTTTAAAAGTAAATATATTTTTGTGATAAGTATATAAAACAATTTCACCAAGATTTTCTGATTTATGTGCTTACTTTAGAACATAGTTTTTGTGAGTGTGTGTGAGCACATTTTTCCTGGCCTACTTCATTAAACACTGAGGTTCTATTTTTTTTTTAAACTGGTTAAAAAACATTTTAAATTAATTTTATCCTTTATTGTTTGCAGGAATGAGTAGTTACCTTTACTGAAAAGGCTTTTCGTTTATATCCTAGCCTAACATTTCTATGACATACAAAGTTATTAGGACTGAATTGATGTTTAAAAGTGCCATTAATTCATTTACCCCAAATGTTCATTAACAATGTAAATGTATGCTGATGTTCTATGAGACAAGGAAGTGACTAATGACTCTTCCAACTAACAACACTTAAAATGAATAGAAACTTTAGATAGCTAATCTTGAAGTAATCAAGACCCTCATTCAGCTTGGCATCTCTGTATGCTCTAAAACAGCTGTCAACTGTTAAAAATATATACAAAACACACATACGCACAGGCACATGCAGAAAGAATGATATGTAAATATCTAGTTCTTGAAAGCCATAAAGGTTACTAACCGTGGTGGGTTTTGTGCATTGTATATGTAAATATTTTATATGAAGCATCTATTTCATCTTCTTAGATTTCCTTTTAGCAGAAAAACATGTGCTGCATTTTAATAGGGTTGTCATATTTATTTGAAGAATCATCACCTTTCTAGTATGTTTGTTTATTTTAATGTATGTATTTCATGGGGTTCTCCACCTATTTGAAGCCTGTTACACATTTTTCCCACCAGGGAATTGATGGCAAATGGAGGACTCATTTTGTAAGTAGTCAAGCCCTGGACTTAATCAGTGGTTTTCCTGTGTGCAAGGCATGGTGTTTTGGTCTTGTTTTTAATTCCTGTTAGAGAGTCCATAAGTAAACAAGTCTTTAATTTCTCAAAACTGAAATTTTAACATTTATAAAGAAACAGTATAGTACTGAGTTAAATGATCTACAGTATTCTGGAAAGGATATGTAATAATAGCCACATAATTGGAATAATAAAGAGAAAATGGTTTCTCATTGATTTATTTTCATGAGGAGGAAGGTGGGTGAGATCAGAAAAAAGAACTGTTTGGATATATACATGTAGAATTTTCCATTGGAATTAAACTTTTAACTGCTGGAATTTCTTTTTCAAATAGGGAATAGCATAGAAATGAAGACATTTTTCTCTGTGCCCTATTTGGTCATATACATAAATTTCAAGATCTTTGATCAAAGGTATTAATTGGTAATTGACAAGTTCCCTGTAATCCAGTTGAAACTATTAAAAAGACCCAAAATGTTTGTTCAACTATTCATGATTATTCATTGTAGGAAAAGAACATTTTCCCCTATTAAGTCTTTTTTGAGAATAGCACTTTGTTACATATTGCCAGAGTTTTTAGCTCCAATTTTATGTGCCTTCTTACTTACAGCTTTTATAGTATTCAGATAATTACTTAATGTAATGCTTTTTATATAATATCTGTTTCAAAGCTTTCTTTCTATTTTCACGGATAAAATATTTAGTAACCTACCTAAAAAGAAATCCAAGACATTCAGAATATCCTGCCTACTCCATTTTTGACTCTTGTAATTTTGTTTTTGTCCCCATCTTCTTTTCTTTCTGTTACAGTATCATAGAATTTTAGAACTAGAAGAGAGTGTCTGGCTTTATTGCTGAATATATTGGTATTAATTAAAATAGTCCACTGAAGTTGATATAATGAAATGATGCAGCCCTATTATAATCTTTAATATTGTTTTCTATATAGTAGAAGTGGATTTAGATTGAGTAAAAGATGAATTTATTTTGGGAAGATAACTGACAGAAGTATAGGATGCTGTCTAAGTTGTCTTACTCACTTTAAACCCTGTCTTTGCTCTAATTATAATTAGCCAGAGTCATTTTAGGGAGGGGGGAAAAATCTTCCTTTCCTGGCCTACAGCTTTTCAGTGGTTTTCCATTGCACTAATAATAAAATCCAAACCCTTGACCATGATGTCCATGGCTGTCTAGCCTGTCTGGCCATGATCAGATGTGCTAAGCCAGTTCTAAACTCTGGGCCTTCCCACATGCTATTGTCTGGCATTATTCTTGATTCCTTCACAGCACTCATCCCTAAATGTAATCCTACATTTATTTCATTGTTTATCATTTGTCTCCTTGTCTAAATGTATGAGGGCAGGAACTATTGTATACCTGTTGGCCCGTGGACACTACTGAATTAACTAACAGATGAATGAATTGTGTTTTACTAGTCTAAATTCCTTCACTTACTTAAATTCCTTCAATAATTGCTCCATGTATCTTTTTTCCATCTACCTTTCTCCTTTCTGTTCTAAGTTGTAATATATGAAATCTGTTTTATCTCCTGATTATTTTAGTACTTTAATTTTTTTTCCTTTAGGGATTCAAAAGTCAGTATAATCTCCCCTCTTCCTTTGGTCTCATTGACGTTTCCTTCTTTGAAATCCCTCTTAAAATTCACTGCTTTCATGTTTTGTTTCATTATGACCCAAATCCAAATTTCCATAAGGAACGAATGGAGAGAATTTTCTGGCAAGTAAAGGTCAAGCTATGATATCCTTATTAACCCACAGGAAACACTATTTAGCAAGGGAAAACTAAGAAATAAATGATTACTTGTTCCAGATATTCGTGGTCATAAAATGGGAGCATAGACTAAAGTATACTTACATTTAGTATACATGCTTCATATATGTAGCTCCTAATGAAAATTCTATGAAGATGCTGTTCTTAATTTTTGGTTTATAAAATTTACTAATGCAGTTTATACAAATATTGATTATTTTGCATATGAAACATTGTGGAATCAACAACCTATAGTGGTATAGGCTTTTCTTAAGTTTGCAACACTTAAAGTTTGTTGTCATTCAGTAAATATTTGAGTGCTTTCTGTATACCTGGCAATGTTTCGAATGATGGAAATGAAATATTGGAAAAGATAAACATAACTCTGGATGCCAGTTGTAATGGTTAATAGCTAGGATTGATGGACTGAGAAAAGTAAATGGCCAGCTAAAATGGAGAATAATAAGTACTTTCCAAACGTAACTAATAGTATGCTCGGGTAATACGTTGTTGAGTAATTTAACATAAATTTGTGGTAGTGGTGTGTCAAGGAAGGTGTGGTATCTAACACACAACCTGGGGGCTGCTTAGATGGCTCCCTGGGGTTAAACATTCACTTTCTGCTCAGGTCATGATCTCACGGTTGGTCAGTTAAAGCCCTGCATCAGGTGAGCATGAGCCCTCCATTGGGTAAGCCCTGGCCCTGCTTCTGGTGAGCACGAGCCCTACTTTGGGTGAGCTCCGTTTCTCTCTCTGCCCTGTGCTCACTTGTGCCCTATCTCTCCCTCCCCTCTAGCCCCACCAAAAAAAGGACACAACCTAAGGATGCATAGCTGTTAGCCAGTGTGTAAGGAGTATGTGCTTCATGCTTTCCCCTTGCCCCCTTCAGTGTGGTTGGAGGCTAGCATTCAAAGGAGGAAGGGCCACAAATGAGACTGATGACCAGGGCCAGGAAGTACTTGATCCCAAGAACAGTAAGTAGTCTAGTGAAGGAATCTTACTGCCAGAATTACATTTTAGAAAGATTATTATGGCTACAGTGAAGAAGCCATTGCAGTATCCTAGGTAAGAAATCATAGTGGCCTCTACTGGGAAAGTATTGAAACGGAAATGGGGAGAAGTGGAAACGTTTGA